GTTAAAGTTTATGCAAATGAAGACGAATCTTTATCCGATTTAAAATCACCTTCATGGTCATGATTTCTATTGTGTTTTCTTCATGAATTATTAATGAGTTTTCTAATGGGTCTAAAACCACTCGGCTGCGCCTCGTGTTTTATACCCGATAAAACACTCCTGCTCGTTTATTAAACATTACATAGTCTAGAGATAATACAACAATAGAGAGAATACACTGTAATACTGAGCTAGAAACCAAACTTATATTAATTTTGTATTGATTAATTTTGTATAATTCACAAACCCGCCTAGACTAGCTATGCAGCTATATGCGGGAGCGTGTTACATTGTAATTAGTATTCTAATTGAAAAATAATAATAAATTGAAATTGAAATTGAAATAAATGTATAGTAAAAATGGCAGACGACGCCATATTGAATAACTAACGAAGGATCGTATTTCGAGCTGACTTTCATTGCATTTCGTGTGTTATAGTGTGTCGATCTCAACTTGTTCATACCTTTGTAATCGTTTTGTTGGTGGACTTTTTTAATAAATATGTTATCCACGAATGGCTTTTGATAGTCGATGTTCTAGAGCTCATTGTAACAAACGCCGCCGATGTCGAACATAGTCGTATCTACAATCTTTCTTCTGGAGATGAATCTTACCTTGTTCCAGGAACTAAAGACGCGGAAATCATACTAGGAAAAGACAGTCTACGAAAAGCCTGAGGCTAGTTATTATCAAATAAGATTTTTTTTAGCATGTATGATTGTGGAATACAGGTCTGATTTGTCAATAGGAATCAAGTTTATCTTACAACCAGATGTTTCTTTTTTTCGCTACCTCTTATACTTGTAATCAGTTAATCGATATATTGAAACGTACGCAATGTGTTTTGTTCGTATCATTGATCTATCAGTTCACATTGAAGACGCCATAGCTTACGTTAGATTGTCTACCAAATGTAAACGGTTACTTGTTAACAACTTTTCTACTTAATGAAATATTAAAAGTGCGTTAAATTGAACAGTTTATTATTGCTCAAACGAGTACAAGATGTACTTAATTTTTTTGCCTGCATCGTTTATGAATGATGTTGACCATTTATTATGGTATAAACACTGTACCCAATGTAACCCCACATGAGCGGAATATGAGTGAACGCAAATACAAAGAATGAAAATCAGGAAAAAATAGCAATATTAAAAAAGTAAAAAACCTAAATAGGAAAAAGATGGCCTTTTTTAAAAATTAGAAGTAACGAAGAATGGAAAATAAACAAGAATGAAATATAACATAAGCGTCAATACAAAAACAAAAAATCGAAGAGAAAACGAGCAATGCTATTGGGGAAGAAAAAACAGAATAGATATATTTTGCAATTGTCTCAGTGAAATTTTAATTCCTTTGTTATTCCTTTATTTGTCTTCCATTCATTCTACCCATAAAAAAGCTAGCTGCAATCAGTTCAATCAGTTTCTAAATCATTCTTTTTTTATCTCACTATTTTTTATTGCGCTAATTCTTTTTCTCTTTTTTATTTTCATTTTGGAGTTTAAGTTTTAGACATTTTTTAAATATCATAATTATATTCCCAAAACTCGATTCCCGTAACTCGAATCCCATAACTCGATCCCAAAACTGGAATCCTAACTCTAGTCCTAACTTTGATGTTAGTCTGTCTCGCTTACAAATATCATTGTTTTGTGTGTCACAGATTAATATTTCCTATAAATGAGACATGCTGTCGTTAAGTTTATTGGTTATGTGATCGTTTGGTGCTGTATTTGCTGGTAAATAACCCTGGCGAAAAATTTTAACGGCGGTTTCAAAATAGGTACTCAAATTAGTTTCAGCCCTTCTCTCTTTCTTACCATTTACTAGGTCGTGCATTACACTGATACGTAACGTTAATCTGCTATGAAGTTACTGGTAGTACGATTACTGGAATTTAAACGTATCAGCGTCTTGTTCAAATCTCAACACAGGAAACCCAAATTACTTTATTGATTTATTTATATCTTTGGCGTCTTGTTTCAAATCTCAACACAGGAAACCCAAAGCATTTTATTGATTCATTTATTTATGTACAAATTCCAAAGCCGGGCCCCCTGTGGTGTGGACTTCTAATAAGCGAGGATTTCTAAGAATTTTCAAACTTCAATGGCCATAGATTATTTTGGCTAACTATTCATGCTTTGATTCAGAAGCCATCGTAACCGAAAGCGCACTATTTAAATCCGAGTTTGCGACGGAAAAATAGTGATGGAGACTTGGAGCAAGTCTTGTATTTTCTGTAATCCAATACCATTTCTAAGGAATAAACTAATCGTGTTAAAAAACTACGCGCCTGATCAATGGCTTTGACGGATTTTGCAAGCCAACTCAATTATAACTCACTAGATGTTAAGCTATATTGTAAAGGTATTTTGGCTCTGAAAACTAATACAAATAAATACCAGGTACAACAAGGGGCCATTTTGCTGCGCATGAGCGCCATACCTTAGCTCATGTCAGTGTATTGTATAGAGTTTCGATCATGTGGCGATACTCTGATAAATATGCTCAGATATAGCCTCAGACAAGCCTGACATCGAAAAATGTATCATTTGTGCGTTTCAAGTAAACATCAGCGTATAAAGTCGTCGCAAAACATGATTGCAAAGAGCCATGCGAGCTACCTCAAAAATGGCGACTGTTGTGATATACTTATCTATTGGTTTTACCGAAGAAATAAGACTATTTGATGCAAGATTTTCTATAAAGTCGAGTGCCATGCTATTTATATTTTATTACGATATCATGTGTACAAATCGCCTGCAATGACATGCGAAAATATACTTGCCTTTCTTTCCTATCTGATATTAATGATTCGAGCTTTTCGGCGTTTTTATCCATGAAATATTTGTAAAAGTATTGAAAATACCACTGTACTGCAAGCAAAGATGATAACATCTATATGTCTATTTGACTATTACACGTTAAATAGTGTTTTTTTTTTATTTCACGGGTTATATGCCTTCGCTCTATCAAGGCTTGCATAACAGTCTTTTAGTAATCCGAATGCAAGCTCGCCTAATATCTCTCATTCTTACTAGGTATATGATAGGATTTAAAGTAGAATTCAAGCCTACAATACTTAGCATGGTAATGGCAAAAATGGGTCCTGGATCTATTTCTGCTCAAACGTTATAAAAATGACTAAAAGAGGTAAGTAACAGATAAGAACCAAGGCTAATATCAAAGCCATTGTCTTTAAAAGCTTTTTGTATTTCAAAACATCGATAGCATTTGATGGTGTAGCATCATTGCTTCCTTGATGGGAACCCTGTGGGTTAGTCTGATTACAGTAAACCTTCAGCGCTCTAAAAGACATGCTGTAGCAGAAAATAATTGTAAATATGCAGATGGTGAAAACAATGCTGCCAAATATACCAACCCACTTGGTTGATGTATATAGAGGAAGGGACGTCAGGATGAATACCATGACCCATAGAGCGGCTAGAAGTCTTCGTATTCGTGGTAAGGTGACTGTTGACCGATATCTAAGCTTGAGGGATATGGCCAAGTATCTATCGATACTGATAACCGTTACTGTTAATCCCGATGCAATAGTAACCATCATTGAGATATTAGTAAATAGAACAWAAGAGATGCATARWGTTTGAACATCTAGGTTGAAATACGAAACTGCAAACAGGCTATAACCGGTTTGGCAAACTAGTCCCATAAATAGATCAGTTAAAGCGAGATTTGTTAATAAATAAAACGAAGGAGTTCGTAGTTCAGGAGTCGTAAAAACAGCTATGATAACCAAGAGGTTAGCGATGGTTGTAGGTACCGCGAAGATGGCGTTGAAAATAGCCAAGAATAAGCTTTGTAAGTTATCGTTTTCTAATAAGATATTGATGAAACTAATGGTCGTGTTGTACCTCTTAATGCCACGGCAGACAATCTCGAGTAAATTGTAGTCAAAGCTTCCATTCATTGTATTCATTTAAAATGAAATCTATTTTTGTGTTTTTTCACTTTTGTTAACTTTTTCTTGTTAGTTGATTTTGGTCACTTTGTCTTCGGTTTTCTTCGTATTTTTTCTCGGTTTTCGTCTTTATCTTTGGTTTTCTTTGTTTGTTTTTTTTTCTCCCGGTTTTCTTCGTCCTTATCTTCGGTTGTCTTCGTTTTTTAACCCGGTTTTCATTTTCCTTATCTTCGGTTTTCTTCGTTATTTCCCCCGGTTTTCTTCGTCCTTATCTTCGGTTTTCTTCTCACTTATCTTCGGTTGTCTTCGTTTTTTAACCCGGTTTTCTTCATTACCTTCGGTTTTCTTCGTTTTTTCCTTGAAATCATACACAACCAAATCAATAAATAAGACTACTTTGGTAAGCCTAAGCTATTGAAAATACTAAAATAATGTTCACCTATTATTTCGTTTCACTTTAAGAATCAAACCTTGGCCAAATAGTATTTCTATATTTCTCCTGACTTGTCTTCTGTTGCGAATGGAAATAATTTTCTGACATGAAATTTGACGACTACTGTGTCTTATCACAAAAATCTTAGAAAATTGATAACACAGCTGACTGTGCCCTTTGCTTTAGTATTTTTTTTTTTCTTTTTGCTGTAAAGCCTTTGCGAAAAAAACAAGTCGAAGTAGAAGCTTTTTGGGTCTGACTGTTTGGTTGTAAAGTTTACGCATTTGAGCTAGAAATTCACCAGTCGCTTTATATGGAAATCCAAAGACTTTTATATCCAGATGTCTTCAACAGATCACTTGCACAAATAAGTTCACACGACTTTGGAAAGTTTCGCCTTTGGGGGCCATCACAATTTGTAAAGTTCATTTTTTGGTCATTGTTTCAGATTTTCCTTTTGACTTTAGATTATAATAATAAATTTAATGTGATTCAAGGGTTTGAGGTTATCTTAATAGAAATATTGAAAAGAAAAATAAGAATGGATTTTTACATTGCCTTAATGTATCATAACAAGGGCGGATCCAGGGTTTTTTTGAAGGGGGGGTCTCAGGGGTAAATTTTGTGGGCAAAGGAAACCCAGTCGCATTTTTACCACAGGAAGCCCATTTGACCTCAGGAATGACAGGGGGGTCGCGACCCCCCGACCCTCCCCCTGGATCCGCCCTTGCATAAGTATTATCAATTAGCAAACTTTTTACTGGGATACCTGTGGATCACAGTCATAAAATGTCTTTGCTTTTTTTCCCTGTCATTGGAAAAAATTGGAATTCCCATACATTTGGAATTTTTGCTCTATTCGGTCTTTTTCCTCTCTTTCCAAAGCAAAAGGTCGATCTTAAAAGTAAAGTTATATAGCACAAGTAAACTACGTGACAAAACATCCTAAATGACCCGTAAATCTTCTGTCCTTTCGCTAACTACCGTGGTTACTAGCGTGTTTCGTATCCTCGAAACCTAAGAAACCGAGTAAGAGGCAAATGTATAGCCAACAGATAGCTTGAGCTTATAAAATCAGCAAAAATACGGTTCTAAAAGTACGGTAGTTTTTTTCGATAGAATTCAATCTAAACTATATCATACAGTCCGTGAATAGTTGAATTAACTGAATCCACTTCTGTTTTTTGCCTAGATAGTCATTGTTTTGAAAAAAGATCCAAAAACCGTTTGAGACATAATTTGTATGGGCTCACATGAGGGGGCGTGAGCTTGAAATCGTAGCTGACCAAATGTTAACAGATGTTTTCTGATGTTCACCACAAAATGGTAAAAAAGCGCAATAGCACCCAGGGGTCTTCAGGAACTTACCCAAGATACCTTTGCGGGCATCTGCTATGGGATTCACATCCATAGTCCAATGAATTATGATGTACCAGATGTCAATCAATGTCACTATGCTGTCAAGTGATTATTAGAGGGCGGAGCTAGCAGATCACGTGGCAGAGGTTTATGCATAACAAGACGCAAGCCCGTTTTTTTGGCGATAAGCGGTTTACTTGTGGTGTGTAAAGATGGGCGAGATGTTTGTGCCACAGCAGGGTATCCACCTTAGACCGAAGCAGTATTTACTCAAAGACTGTATTACACATTATGATTATGTTGCTCTGCTATCCTCTGCCGGTACCTCCATGGTTAACAGCCGATTTTTCGATCGCTGTAGATCGTTACTAAATATACTGGACAGCTAATCGAATCTACACGATCCTATTTTGACCATGAAATTGATGTATGTTGTTCGAAATATGCCGTCGAATGGTCAGCGTTTGGTAATGTACAACATGATTCTCGACTTAAAGCTCACATTTTCGATCTAGCAGAAAAAAACAGGTAGACCCGGGAGGTAGATTAAGGTACAGGAATGTTTCAAGAAGAACCTTTACTTGTGTTTGATCCAGGAATTTAGAGTATAGTTGATGATATATGATAGTATTTTAGGGCAAACGTCCAATAATATAAATTGGCGCGAAAACTGAAGTCTGGCAAAAAATGTTACGTCACATCTAGAGATGAACTTTCTGTGGAATACGTCAAAATTATAGCTATAGAAGCTCATTCACACTCGTGCATGCCAATTTTGAATATATAGCCTTAGCTTTTATGATAAGATATTCTTTAAATTTGACAATAAATGCTGCATTGTTGCTGCATATGTTCCCGCTCAAATTAAGTTGTATTTATTTAATAAATGTTTAATATATAGCTAGAAAATGTAACCCTCTCTCCTTGCTTTCTCAGGCGGCTCGCCCGAAAGCAACAGAATTGCTCAGGTTGCTCGCCCGTAATTCTGTGAGAGGCTACATTTTAAATTTATAATCTCTAATCATAGTTATAAAACATTTTATAGTTAGAACAAAATGCGAAAAGGTAAAGATAATAACAGCACTGCTATTTGATCATATCACGCTGCTTTGTATCGAAGTGTTGATCCAATTGACACGATACTCAGATTTGTGGTAGTAATCACAGTGATACTTGAAACATGCTGTCACAAATATTCACCAAAAAAACGGCCTTGTGGCTTGTTATGTTACGCATGCCCTATTTCGTTGACTGCTGTAATTCAAGACAACCGAACTAAAAATGTTAATTTATCAATTTCCAAAACAAGGTTTTCAAGCCGAACAGATAGCGATGATTTTGAAGCGATTATTTCTAAGAATTTTCAATGAACTTCATAAGCAATAACATGTTTTGGTTTACTCTTCATGATTCATCTATGAAGCATTATGATCTCCTTTAATTTTTCTTCAAAAAAATGGTGATTCATAAAAAAAATATCGATAAATTATAAAATGTAAAGCAATTATGAGAGAGATCTGCAGCAAATATTAGCCCGTATTTACGGTTTAAATGAAGCATTTTGATTTTAAAGCGAGCTATACAATGCCCGTGAAAATGGGCACGTTTAATGCTCGAACAGCAAGCTAATTACTTTTGCCAAGATCCGGACCGTAACTGGAATTGCAGTTCCAAGTTGAGTTATTTATCAGTACCTGTACTACTTTATCAGTATTTTTGGAAGCTCAACCAACTAAATACTCCATGCATGCTGAAACCAGGTTCTTCACTCCCTTCCTTCCAGGTATCCCAGTCATCGCTGCCTACAGCTTCTAGTTTAAAATTAAAAAAAGATACACCTAATCGTAAGAGCTTTGTCTTATAAAAGATTGTTGTTTTTAACACTCACCAGTTATCTAATTTTGAAGTTTTGATTTTTAGTTTAGATTTGCTTAATTTCACACCAACTGTCAAATTAAATGAATTAAATGATGGCCTTAGCAACACACATAAGTTGGATAAAAATGGAATGCAAGTTTGTGGGTAGTGCCCTTTTTCTTTTCCAATAGCTATCCTTAATTCAATAAAATAGGTTATTTTAACTTTATTAATGAAGGTAGTGTAGGAATTTTTTTAAATTTTTTATACTACTTTGATATATATAGTATTTTGTTAATAAATTTAAATGATTGATTAAAATTTGGTCACTGATTTTATCTTTAATACCAAGAAAGATGTCCAACTCTCAAGATACTGAATTTTTAATTTTCTAAATAAATTTTCCTTAACAGAGGACCAAAATAATTGGACCTCAGGACAATGGTAAAAAAGATGTTTCATTATTCTCTTCTCGAATCTGGCAGAAGGAACAAAAAGGATAATCACTTTTTCCTATTTTGAAAAGTAATTGTTATTCTATGAAATGTTTTGAATTGAAATTCACGTTTCTTTGTGTCAAGCGCACATCTATAGGGGATCGTGTAAATCATTTGCCAATCATTTGCCAATCATGTACTGTGTAAATATAGTTTGCTTCAATTTTTTTTTTTGCGCTGTCGGAGGGGATATTTTCTTTTACAACGCTTTAGTATAAGCTTCCCTAGAACTTAGTTTTTCAATTTTAAGCCTTTTTCCTACTTGAGTATAAATTACTCAATTATTTGGAAAGATTTAAAAGTAGTCTTATTAGCTGCGTAATTTTCTTTGACTATTTTACGCCAAGCTGTCGGAATAGCATGTATTATTTGTCTAAGGTTGAACATTTCCAGTGGGCCTAACTGTGCAGCTTTCCCTAGAATTGGGGTGTGATTGTCGTGAAGATCGCCTATTCTGCAAATTCCACTAGAGTAAATATTTCTAATAAAAACTGATTTATTATTGATGCAAATAAATTTATTGTTCCACATGACTTGGTAAATTATGTCCTCTAGCGAATCGGGTGTCTTGTAGGATAAGTATTGACCAAGATTTCAGACATTCTTGATAGAAACTAGGAAGCTTTAGAGGTAGGTTTTTTAAATCGTAGCTGCAATAAAAAAGTAATTTCCCACCTAATTTTTCTAAGTAATGGTTTAAAAATATTTCCAACTACTGGGATAGTCTGCCAGAAATTTTTTGATGCACATAGTTCGTTGTGCATGCATGCATTAAAGATTCGATATCTAGCCTCTTTAGTCCTCCAAGCTCAATATCATTTACAAGAGTTGTGAGCGTTTCACTTTGTCTTTACCATTCCAGA